CATTGCCGGAAGGATGAGGTCTCTGCGTTTAGTGATGACAGCTCCTGGAGCCCAGCACCCAGGCACATTTTGTTCCAGCAACCTTTGGGCCTATCTCTTCCCTAAGAGCTGTGGGTACCGGGTCCTCCTGGGTGTGAGCACGGCTGCGTGGAGAAGCCGCGGGTTTGGCTGCCTTGGTTTCTGTCCCGGGCTGGCACGCGTCACCCTCGGCTCCGGTGAGCGCAGCGGGCCAGCTGTCACGCGCCCCCAGGGGACAGCCTGGGGTTTTGTGAGCTGTCTCTGCTGCCATCCTGCACTCGGGGTGTCTTCCTCCTGCCCGGGGGTTCTCACTTCCTCTGCAGCTGCCGGCTTCTGGGTTTCTTCTCCTACTTACACGAGAACCCTGTGTCTCGAGAGAGAGGTCATCACTGGTCTCTGCTTTGTGCTGCCAGGTTTTTTCTTTCGTTTCCCAGCAGAATTTTTTGGGCAAATGTCACACCCAACTGACCTCTCAGCCCTCAGCTTACGCTGAAAACAAAGGATTGAGCAACGGTTTGTCTGTGAAAACTGCATCTTCCTCCTCTTTAAAATACTCTTGCTGCAGGGCCTGGTCTCCCCGTCAGCTGCAAATGCAGTGATTCAAAACTTCGATTTCCTTCTCTCTGTGAGCAAGGCGCCTCACACATCTTTCTAAGGGTTTCTACATAATTTTGTTAGTTCACGGAGCTCAGAGCGTTTCTAATTCCTCCATCACTGCTCCACGCTCCTCTTAAATCTTGTCATGTTCCTCATAAGCCTGATGGAGTTTAGACCTCATCTTTTCTTTACTAATTTAGTTTTATTACAGCTTCTTAAAATTTTTCTTTCTGCCTCGGTGAGTTTTTACAGAATTCCTTATAAAACATGTGACATTTCCATAGAGTTTGGCTTCCCAGTAGCTTGTCCTGTTTCTTTCCATGGCATTTATCCTTCGTCATCAAAGTAAGAATCGGATTTTCTACTGCAGTCTGGCTCATTTCTTCAAGCCCCTGACAATGTGTCTTGAAGCCCACTCACCTCCTCAGGCACACTCTTACTTTGCATCCTGACTTCTAATGTGGCCTTTGTTGCTTTGACATCTGCCTAAAATCTTAGGATTTATTGAGAATTTTATATTTTCATGGGACATTTTAAAATGTCTGTGCATCTGTTTTTCCATCATTTGAAATCTTCTACTCTTTGTAGCAGAGAAGTTTCCAGAATAAGCTGCCAAACAACCAATTCCCCATAAGGAGGTAATAATTCCAATTTTAGGGAACTTGATGACGTTCTGGCAGCCTCAGGTCCTCGGCCAGCACCTGAAAAAAGCATTTCCAGCATCCTTCACGAAGGACCAATTGAAGGACTTCTGTGTCTGTCTCTAGGCTGCGTTTGGAGGTACCTATCATGTGCTGTCAAACAACCAACCTTTCTAAGATCTATTTCTACATTCTCTGAGATTCTTTTTCTTTCCAAAATGACTCACAGAAGCTACATTTCCTCAGTTCTTTTGTGTTCAAAAATACCTATTACCTTTAAAATTAAAAGTAAATGTAACTGGGCATGCAAATATTAAGGCATATTTTCCTTGAAATTTTTATAGGAATTGTTCTATCATGTTCTAGCATTGACTATTGCTTTATAAAATTCTGGATAACTGATTTTTTTTCCACCTTTATAAATGACCTGGTCTTTTTTTCTGTTTCTAACCTGCTTCTGAGTGTGTTAGAAATAGTTGGGTTCTCTAGTTGCTGTATATTCGAGATATTTTATTTACTAGAGAAATATTTATTGTTTTCCTGCACTTAGTTTCCAGCAATGTGGGAGATATAAAGGCTAATAAGACATGGTTCCTGCCATCAAGGGGTCAAAAACCAGCAGGAAACAGAGGCCTCAATGGAATGAACCCTAACCTCACGCAGAAATCTAGTCTGGAGGTGGGGCCGGCGGAAACCTCCTTTGCAGTGTGGGAAGAAACTGTGAGAGTTCCTATTTATGCTTATTTCCTTTAGCTCCTCCATCCACGGGATTCTCCAGACAAGAATCCTCAAGTAGGTTGCCGTGCCCTTCCCCAGGATCAAACCTGCATCTGCTATGGCTCCTGCATTGCAGGTGGATTCTTTACCACTGGGCCACAGGGGAAGCCCTACCATAAAAATAAAGAAATTAATATAACAGTTAATGTTTTAAATAGCTGATGTTCCCAGTGATGCTGGGGCCTCACAGGATGCTGTGCATTGTGGTCACATGTTGTGAATCATTCCCTGGAAAGGAGGAAGCGATGACGGGTTGGCCACCACGTTATCGAGATTTTGCTCCACGGATCCTCACAGCTGGGCTTCAAACACTACAGAAAAGAAACTGCAAAGTGAAGATATTAGTGATGCAAACACATAAGAAAAATAAGGAGATGGCAGAGCTTACACTCTGCTCCTTCCACAGGCTCTTAGTCAAGTCCATTGACAGGTAAGAAAACCATGAGTAGCTCAAGTCTGGTGAGATGTTGGCCAAAATAAAATTAAAAGTTAGACAGCGGTGTACTTGAAATGTTGACTACCTTCTAATGTCACTCAGGATACAACTCATACTAAATATATGGTACCTTGAGATACTGGCTTGTAAAAATAAATGTATACAATTTATGGATAAATACCTTGGGTATAAATAAATAATAAATATGTTGGGCTTGTGGGGGCTTCCCAGATGGTGCTAGTGGTAAAGAATCTGCCTGCCAATGCAGGAGGTGTAAAAGGTGCAGATTTGACCCCTGGGTCAGGAAGATCTCCTAGAGAAGGGATTGGCTACCCACTTCAGTACTCTTGCCTAGGAAATCCCATGGACAGAGGAGCCAGATGGGCTACAGTCCATGGGGTCACAAAGAGTCGGACATGACTGAAGCGACTGAGTACATACTGGGCATGTAGTCTCAACTTTTTTTTTAATGGGTAGAGGTGTGCAATGAACAAGCTGGGTGATCGCTGCTTTTAGGTAATAAATGTAAATCTGACGCTAACCTGAGAAGAAGCCTCTGGGATCAGAGCATCAGCAACTCATGGTTCCAGGTGACCTGATGGGGTGGGGGTGGGGAGGGCCGCAGGTAGTTACGTTGCAGCAGGAAGAACAATGGAAATGTCACCAGTAAAGAAGAGGAGAGGTTTCTCCAGTCGAAGGAGCAGAATGAGACTCAGAGACTCGAGAACACATCCTCAAAGGAAATTGGCGGGCAGGTTCAAGTCTCCTGGGATGCACTGTGGAGGCAGAGAGGGGGCGGGTAGCACTGGGAAGGTAGACCACCCGAGTTGGAGTGGCCTCAGTGCTGTGCTAAGAATTTGGACCACAGACTGAACTACAGGGCATCCGTGGAGATGTAAGAACAAGGACAGCCATCAGCCAATTGGTGCCGAGATGCCTCTGACACCTTTGGTGCAGAATAAGGGGCAATAAATGATGAAATTGATGTTAATATTTAAAATATATATCTACTGTCTCTGTGCCTATCACCTATCTATCTATCTATCCACCACTGAGAAACTTGGGGCACCATATTAGCATCAAGACAAAAAATGCCTCTATATATTTCACAGAGAGTAACAAGCTATTTTTAATTGTGGTAAAATGCACACAAACATAAAAGCTGTCCTCTCAATCGTTTTTACAGTTACATCTCATTGGCATTAAGCACATTCACGCCGTGGCACAGTCACCACCGCCAGCCTCTCCAGGACTCTTCATCTTGGAAAACTGAAAGTCTGTCCTCAGTAAATACTCGCCCCCCCTCCCCCTACCCCAGCCCCTGGGCACCCGCCCTCACCCTTTCCGCCTCTGCAAACTTGGCTACTCCAGGTGCCTTGTATATGTTAAATCATACAATTTTTGTCTTCTCACAACTGGCTTCTTTCACCAAGCACAATATCAAGGTTCATCCATGTTCCACCTGGTGTCAAAACATCCTTCCTTTTTAAGGCTGAATAGTATTCCGTGTGTGTGGACCACACTTGATTTGTATGAATACATCCGTCTATCACTGGACACTTAGGTGGCTTCCACTTGGGGTTGTGGTGAATAATGCTGCTGTGAACATGTGTGTGTGCAAATATCTCTATGAAATTCTTTCAGTTCTTCTGAGTATATGTGAGAAACCAAATGTTTTGATAAACTGTCTCTCTAGAGACTAATTTGGAAGAGCAAAATTCTCCCCGAGGTTCTCTTAAGGAATTGTTTTTTTGAAAATGGACGGTGAATGTGTGGTGGCTAGTGACAAGAAGGCTGGGCAGGTCAAGCCAAGAGTCCCTGCTCAGAGGGTGACCTGCTTCTGCAGTGAAGACATCGGTGACCAGGTTACTGGTTAATGGTGACCAGGCATCTAAATGCCAGAGGCAAAGGGTAGACAGTCACAAATACTCTGTAGACGTGTGTGCCTCTGTCTGTCTGAATACACAGGTTTAATTTTATTTAAGTGGCAGGCAAAGGTCTGGGGCCGATCTAGAAGAGAAGCGGTGAGCTGCCTGAATGTCCATGTGCCCAGAGGCTGGAGGACCGGTTTCTACTGGGAGGAAGGCAGCCCCACAATCACAATTATACTACACTGCTACGGCGGCGGCGGCATGAAACTTAAAATGCACCCCCCAAACCTTCCTGAGAGTAGCATTCATTTCATAAATTTATTTCTACCTTTGTGACTTCACGGATTGCCCCTCTGCCGGTCCTAGCATTCCGGAAGGCTCCCATTCAAGGGTATTTTCTACCCTCTGCTTGCCTTTTCCACACAATCTGGCTCGGTCACGAGCTGTCCTTCACCAAGGATTCACAGAGTCCGCATCCTCTGGCCTGCCCTCCCCCAGCCCGAGAATCTCAGGGTCTCCGACGGTGTGGGGGAGGGGCGCGCATAAAAAGGGCGCGGGGTCCGGAGACCGCGGTCCGACTCCCCCTGCCGACCTGCAGGACAAAGAAGGCAAGGCTCCGCGCGGAGAGCCCAGCGCTCTCAGGCTGGCCTGAGGCCACTTTCACCCCAGTTCGGAGGCCGGCCGTGGGAAAACCGCCAGCTTGACGTTGGAACAAAAAGGGAGGTCGCCGCCCCCTCCGCCACCCGCACGCCCGGCCTCAGCGTCGTCCTGCTCGGTCCGGTCCTTTGTTACCTGGGCCGGCTGCTCCCACAGGGCCCCGCGGCCGCGGAAGACGAGGCTCGAGCCTCCCACCCGGCCCTTTGATTAGAGGCCCCGGGGCAGCCCTGCGGGAGCGCTGGCTTCCCGGGGGGAGGGTGGGGGGTGGGGGAAAGGGGACCATCCACAGGGGCCGTGGCAGCTGAGAAAGCCCCCGTCCCGGCGGGTCCCCCCGCCGCAGTCCCCCCCCCACCCCCACCCCCCGCAGTCACAGTGTGGGGCTGGACCCCGTCCTAGTCCCGGTTCTGTGGCCATTGACTCCTTTACATAAATGTTAGGGCTGGTAGCTTTCCAATATTTCTAGCTGGAGCGCATTGAGACGAGTGAAAAAGGAAATAATGATGGATTTGCAGTCGCTTTCTTTCAATTCCGCTTCATTCATTGGCTAAGTGTTGGTTACCTAGGAAACCGCGGGCATCTCGACGGTAGAGTTGTCTGTCAGGCTACCAGCTCCGCGAGCTGGGTATTAAGTAGTGATTGCAGTCAGTGGGAAAACCGGAAAGCTCTAAGCCTTGCAATTTCAGTCTATGCAAAAGCACACACCTTGGTTTAAGAAAATAATGCTTTAACAATTCACTACCCATTCGGCTATGCAATGCCCCCTCTCAATCAGACTTCTTCAATTAACACAATGACTCTGTGTTACAGATGAATGCAAACTCATTTGAGAATTTGCCCTTGAAAATACTCTGAAAAGTGTGAGAGCAAATAGAATTTTAGTAACTTAAGGGGTATCTTACTCGCCTTGGCCTCATACTGTTATGCATAAAATAAAGGTGGATTTTATTTTGCAGTGTTATTTCTACAATGGACAAGGGAGGGGAAAATTTAGAAATGTTAATGCATCATTAAAATTAATAGCATGTAAAGGACGATAAAATATATTGCTGTAACACCTTCACGTCTGATACACAGTGACCCAGACGGAGAGGAATTGTGTGTAATAAACGGGCAAAAAGAAATGCTGTGATGCTGGGAGCGGGAACTGAGATTAATTTTTTTTTTTTTTTGCTTTGAAGGCCCCTCACCAGCCTCTTCTCTGGGAACTACCCCAATAAAGGTGACAACGGTTGGCAGACAAAGTGAAAACTTCAGGGGAAGGGCTGGCTGTCTTCAGCACTCATCCTTGCCAGGCAAAAACCAGCTCCTTGTGAAAATTAAGATGCGGAGTATCATGCTTCCAAATTGAGGAGGGGGCGTGGAGCGGCTACCGAGGCTGGCAGCTCAGTGGAGACGGGGCCGCGGGACGGTGCCGGCAAACGGAAGGAGAGAAAAGCGGATCTGGAGCCCGAAATGCTGCGTCCCCGAGGACGGGGTTTCCCAGGCTTTCCGACGGACGAGTTCCAGCCCCACCTCGTCCTAAGCCCCTTTCCTGAGAGAAAGCCCAGGGAAAGGGCGTTTTCCCTCATCTTCGTGCACCCGAGTGTCCATCCCCGGCCCTCCGCGGAGACCTGGCCGTGAGACAGGGGCCGGCGGGGCTCAGCCGCCGGGCATGGGGCGGATCCCGGCGGGCGGCGGCGCTCTGCCCCGGCCTGCTCGAACCGCGCCGCGCGCTTCCGCTCTGGCTGCGCGGGTGTGGCCCTCGCTCGCCTCCTTCCCGCGCGGTTCGGTCCCGCCAGAGCCGTCACCCCGGGCCCAGCCACAACCCTTTCTGCCTGGACACGATCCCTTTCCTGAGGGCTGGGCGCCGGGACGCGAGATTCCAGCCTGAGCCCTGACTCTGACTGGCTGCGTGACCTGGGGCATCCTTTTCCCTGGACGCTTCTGCATCTGCAGGAGTGACTAGCACCAACTCGGGGTCAGGACTCGGTCCTTGGAGCCCCGCAATCGGGCACGTGGGCGACCTTCCGCCGCTCTGCCCCTCGGCCGGCGCCTCCCCACCCGGACTCCGACAGCCGCGTCTTGGGACCGTCGTCGGAGCTGGGGATGTCTGGGGGCGCCGAGCTTTTGTTCTCTCCGCCTCTCTTTGTGCGCTGGAATTGGGCTGAAAGCCCCCCTTCCGCCCACAGCGGGAAGGGAGGCGAAGACAGCTTGCTGATACTTCGGGGGTGGAGGGCGGGTCTCACTCGACAGCTGCGGGCTGCTCTCCGCCGGGGGAACCCGGGTCATTCGGCCCCTCTGGCCTGAAGACGAAAAGGGGTCACGTCACCTCGCAGACGACCTGTCAAGGGTCGGGGTGGAGGACAGGAAGCTTCGCCCACGGAATTACGGGGACCAGGTTCCAGCCCGCTCTCTCATACACTCACACACACACACGCACGCACGCACGAAAAGTAACAAAGAGATCAGCTCCTTCTTGGACTCCCTAGAAATTGTAGGTTTGAAGGCGTGTCGGGGCCGCGTCCGCGCACGCGCGCCGTGGGCCGTCAGGGTCGCGCGCGGGCCCCCGCCCGCCTGTGCTGCAGTCTCCAGGCGGGCCCCTCGCCGGCATCCGCAGCACCAAGGTTGGGGACCTCGTGGTCGCCTCGACTTCCGGCGCCCGGTGGATGATGAGAATGTCAGCGGTGGGGCAGGCGGCGATCTCCCTGGGGACCCGTCCCCTTAGTGGACAAAAGATGACCCGAACCCAGTGTGACTGTCAAACGCTGGGTCGTGTGAGGTGGCCCACGCGTTTTCCAGCTCTTTGTTCTGCCGCAGCCCCGCCCCCGAACCCCACCCTCTTCTGATCGCTGGACCGTCCACCCTGCCACACCCACCCCGCAGGCTCCCAAGGAACAAAAGCAGCCAGGCGGAGGAGTCCTGGGTACCAGCCGGGGAGGTGTGGACTCTTGGAGAGGGTCGGGCAGGGCGGTGCAGGCCCCGAGGTGGCCCGGTCCCCGGATGCCGCAGCCAGAAAGGGCCCTTGGCAGAGACAAAAGAGGGAACGCACGGACCCCGGGGGCGGGGCCGAGGGCAGCCTGGGGCAGTTGGGCCATAAGTGTCTAGGGCCACGGCCCTTCGGCCCCAACAAGCTGTCACAAGGACTTCCTCCCGGGGCCGAGCTTCGGCCGCCGCACCGCCGCTGGACTGGGGAAAGGGGCAGGAGTCTCCCCGGGAGGGTGGCTTAGGGGGCCCCGGCCGAGGGTGGAAGCGGCGCCGCAGTCCGCGGTTGTGGCGAAACCCAGGCCACCAGCGCGACTACCAGCCGGCGCCCCAGCACAGAGCGCTCCTTCCCGGAGCACCTGGCGGCCCCTCCACCTGTTCCAGTCTCCCACCGCCACCCACCCGGTGCCCGCTCTCCCCCCACACCCGGCCTGTCACGCCGGCCACCCTCGCGTCTCCACCCTCCCGCGCTCGGTTCCTTCACCCACCCCCCGGTTCTCGGCGCCCAGCTTCTCCACATCCCCCCCAGTCCTAGACAATGCGCACGCCCCCCACCCGGCTCCGCTCAGCCCCGGGGCCGCGCCCGGCCCTCAAGCCTCTGCTGATTGGCTGCGGGCCGGTGGTCCAGCCCCCTGGACGGTCCCTGGGGCCCGGAGCATTACGTCAGCGGGGCCTGGAGAGCGCTAGCGCGAAGGGGACTGGGGGGCTCAGGCTGGGGGCGCGGCCTGCGCGGGCCGCCCCACCTTTCTCATATAAAAGGCCGAACCCGCCGGGCCGGCGCTCTCAGTCGGCTGGTTCCCGAGCGCGTTCCGGGTTACCCCGCAGTGGGTGTGCAGGGGGACCGACAGACCGACCAGACGCCGACCCGGGCCAGAAGAAGCGAGCCGGCACCATGCGAGAGATCGTGCACATCCAGGCGGGCCAGTGCGGCAACCAGATCGGCGCCAAGGTGGGCGCGGCTCCTGGGCGGGGTCGGGTGGGGACGGGGGCCCAGGCTGACGCCTCTAGGGGTTCCGGGCGCGAACGTCGTCCTGAGTGCAGACCTTCCCGCGGCTCTGTACTGCGGAGCCGGGCGTGCGCCCGCGGCAACTTTCAGCGGGAGGGGGGGGGGGGGAACCCCCCAGCTTGAGGCTGTGACTCGTGTGGCCTCTCGGTCCCCGGCCGCCCCTCCCTTCTCTTCTCTAAACCTCGTACGCTGTCCCGGAGCGCGCGCGGGGGCGGGGGGGGGGTGTCAGCGGCTGTGCGCCACTCTGCGGGCGGGGCCGGGACGCCGGGAGAATCGGTTTTACTCGCTCGAACTCTAGTCGAGTGGCGGGGGGAGGGCCGGAGGACGAGCATCTCGTGGTCCCCGGGCGTGCGTTGAATCTAACCACCCCCGTCCTTCAGCCCCTTCGGTCCCCGACCCCCCTCCCACCCGCTCCGCGCCGCTGGGCGCCCCGCGCGCCCGCCAACCAGTTGCTAGTCCAGTCTCTCCCCGCCGAGACCCCCGCCTCCCGCCTCGAGCAGCTGTTCGCCCAGGAAACGCCCAGTTTCAACTCCGCGACCCTGCAAAATGCAAGCCCTGCCGCGGTGCGGGCGTGACTGCCCTGAAGCTCCGGAGACGCTGGGCTGTCGGCACCGAGTCTTTTCATTGTGTGTCGCGGGCCTCTCGGCGGTGGGGCGTGGTCTAATGCAGGTTTTTCTGTGTCTCAGTTTTGGGAAGTCATCAGCGATGAGCACGGCATCGACCCCACTGGCAGTTATCATGGAGACAGTGACTTGCAGCTGGAGAGAATCAATGTGTACTACAACGAGGCCACTGGTAATCGCCTTTACCCTGCCCCCCTCCCCAAGGGACTGACCCCAGAAGTGTGGCCCCAGGGAAGGGTGGTTTGGCAGATTTAGGATTCCTATTTTTCCATGGGTTTTTTTGGGGGGGGCGGGGGTGGGGAGTGCTCCTTTGAGAATCCTGAGAATCCTGTCCTGTGTCTTCTGTTGGGGCTACAGCCGCTTCTGTAAGGAAGGAAGCTGGTACCAAGGCCCCTCTTCTGAGCTCTCTGCCTGCAGGTCTGAGTCCTGCTCTGTCCCCGCAGGTAACAAGTATGTGCCTCGGGCCATCCTCGTGGACCTGGAGCCGGGCACCATGGACTCCGTCAGGTCTGGACCCTTTGGCCAGATCTTCAGGCCCGACAACTTCGTGTTTGGTGAGTGACTGGCATGGCTGATGGCCTGGACAGCTCAGGGTGGAGGGGTGTGGCTGCCTTAGAGAAAGCCTGGAGCTGTGTGCTCATTTTGTCTTAATATATAACCTAAAACAAAAGGTCTTTCAACCTCTAAGGTCCCTAACCTGCCTTATTTATAATTATGTCCGTGACCAAATATTTTAATGTTTGGTCCTTTTAATGATAACCTGAAATCTGATCTGAAATCTGACTCACTGAGCTCTATTAAAGGGTTTAAGGTGAAAAGGACTTGAATGCAATCATCAGTGACTTATGAAGACTCTCCCCCTCTGGCAGGCCAGAGCGGCGCCGGGAACAACTGGGCCAAGGGCCACTACACAGAAGGCGCCGAGCTGGTGGACTCCGTCCTGGACGTGGTCAGGAAGGAGTCCGAGAGCTGTGACTGTCTGCAGGGCTTCCAGCTGACCCACTCTCTGGGGGGCGGCACCGGGTCTGGGATGGGGACCCTCCTCATTAGTAAGATCCGCGAGGAGTACCCCGACCGCATCATGAACACCTTCAGTGTCATGCCCTCGCCCAAGGTGTCGGACACGGTGGTCGAGCCCTACAACGCCACCCTGTCCGTGCACCAGCTGGTGGAGAACACGGACGAGACCTACTGCATCGACAACGAGGCGCTGTATGACATCTGCTTCCGCACCCTGAAACTGACCACCCCCACCTACGGGGACCTCAACCACCTGGTGTCGGCCACCATGAGCGGGGTCACCACCTGCCTGCGCTTCCCGGGCCAGCTCAACGCCGACCTGCGCAAGCTGGCCGTGAACATGGTGCCCTTCCCGCGCCTGCACTTCTTCATGCCCGGCTTCGCCCCGCTCACCAGCCGGGGCAGCCAGCAGTACCGGGCGCTGACGGTGCCCGAGCTGACCCAGCAGATGTTCGACTCCAAGAACATGATGGCCGCCTGCGACCCGCGCCACGGCCGCTACCTGACCGTGGCCGCCATCTTCCGGGGCCGCATGTCCATGAAGGAGGTGGACGAGCAGATGCTCAACGTGCAGAACAAGAACAGCAGCTACTTCGTGGAGTGGATCCCCAACAACGTGAAGACGGCCGTGTGCGACATCCCGCCGCGCGGCCTGAAGATGTCGGCCACCTTCATCGGCAACAGCACGGCCATCCAGGAGCTGTTCAAGCGCATCTCGGAGCAGTTCACGGCCATGTTCCGGCGCAAGGCCTTCCTGCACTGGTACACGGGCGAGGGCATGGACGAGATGGAGTTCACCGAGGCCGAGAGCAACATGAACGACCTGGTGTCCGAGTACCAGCAATACCAGGACGCCACGGCCGACGAGCAGGGCGAGTTCGAGGAGGAGGAGGGCGAGGACGAGGCCTGAGCGGCCGCGGGCGCCCGGAGGCCGGGCGGGCAGGCCGGGCGGGGGCCGAGGGGCGGGGGGGCCGGGCGGAGGCCGAGGGGCGGCGGGCTCGCAGGAGGACAGAGGAGGGCCCGGGGTCCCGCGACGTGGCGCTGGGGCTCTGGTGCTCTTCACGGTGGCCTGTCCCTTTTTTTTTCCCTTTTGTAATATTGATGACATCCATGTAACATTTGAGGTCTTTCTGAACTACTGTTGTAATGGCTAAAATCACATAAACGTTTGTGTCCTAACGGTGTCCTCTGTTCTGTCTCCTCTTTATTATCAATTTAAATGTCACTTTCAGAACACATTCTACTGAATCCTTCCTTCAGCAAGTGAAGGGATGGGTGAATGCTCACATGAATGTACTCTTCGGCTTCAGAAGGATAAAATCAAACCAACCACAGGCGTACCCAGTTTAGGAAGGGCGATCAATCTGACTTTTAAGGTGCTTTTTTTTTCTTTGGCTGCGAGGTGGGGCTAGTGGGGAATTCTCCCCAGCAGGGGTGGAACCCTGTCCCACTGCCCAAGTGTCCTAACCACGGGACTACCAGGGAATTCCCTTAAGATGCCTTTAAGTAAATATTTTATCAGCTGAGAGAGGCCTGCTTGAAAGCGTACACTCTACTCATGGAGAAATCCTACTCCACCTTTATCTCCTCTGCAAAAAAAAACAAAAAGGAGAAAAACTGGGAATAGTTATTATATGCACACAGCACCTAATTCCAAG